TGTAGTACCTTACATTTCTCCGTGTTGAATTTCATTTTGTTAGCTTTGTCCAGTGTAAGCCAGTCCAGTGTATTTTAATTTTCATTTAAAGGTATATCTGTTAAAAGAGCTGTGTGGTATAGTGGTTTGAGCACTGAACTATAACTGCAGACTCTGGTGACCAGGGCTTGATTCCCTGCTCAGCCATGGAAACCCACTGGGTGACCATGGGTGACCCACACTCTCAGCTTCAGAAAACCCTGTGATAGGGTTGCCTTAGGATCGCCATAAGTTTAAAGGCACACACACAAAAACCCTCACTTAATGAAGTAGGTGTGTTCCAAACATTACTACTTTGACAGAAGAATTGGTACTGGAGGTACAAACAACACAAATGGATAGGGATACGTTCCAAAAAAGAACAGCAGTTCAACACAGTTTCAGCACACTTTGTGCCTAAAACTATTCAATATGCACATGTGCAATGAAGCAGCCAGGTCAGGGAAGCCTTGCATAAGTAATCAAGAACATTTTGCACCTTCTAGAGAACACCTAAAGGCTTCTTCCAAAATGCACCCAGGGGTTACTTTTTTTCTTCTCCCAGCTCATGCTACCAACTCCTATCTTTCAGTATGCAAAGGGATCTTGTAGCACCTTTGAGACCAAGGGGCTGAATAGACCAGCAATTTGACCTGTCTTCCTGGAGATGTAGGGGCATGGTGACCACTTGCTGCTTGCCCTTCCCAACTCCGCCCCAATCTGGTGTCACACTGCCCATCCGCCCTGATGGTACGCAGCGTCGGGGCATTCCTGCGGTGCAAAGACCAGACATTGCACGTGCAGGAGTGCAGAACAGCTGTGATGATGGTGAAAAGAGCACCTCTTTTCCAGCCCAAAAAGAGTGGCACTTTGCTGCTCCTTTTTGGGCCAGAAAAATGCTGGATTGGGGCTGTGATGTGCGGTTACTGTGGCCCCAATCTGGCATTCAAAGGGGTGGCAGAGGGCTGCCCCTTTGGTTGGTCTGTTTCGCCCCTAAATCAAAGATGCTGCAAGATCCATTTGCATACTGATTTTCCAGACTAGAATCATAGAATCATAGAGTTGGAAGAGACCACAAAGGCCATCCAGTCCAATCCCCTGTCACGCAGGAACTCAGACACAAAGCATCCCTGACAGATGGTCATCCAGCCTCTGTTTAAAGACCTCCAAAGTAGGAGACTCCACTACACTCCGAGGGAGTGTGTTCCACTGTTCCTCCTGATGTTGAAGTGGAATCTCTTTTCCTGTAGCTTGCATCTGTTGTTCTGGGTCCTGTTCTCTGGAGCAGCAGAAAACAAGCTAGCTCCCTCCTCAATATGACATCCCTTCAAATATTTAAAGAGGGCTATCATATCCCCTCTTAACTGTCTGTTCTCTAGCTAAACATACCAAGTTCCTTAGGTTGTTTTTCGTAGGGCATGGTTTCCAGACCCTTCATCATTTTAGTTGCCCTCCTTTGAACACGCTCCAGTTTCTCCACATCCTTTTTGAATTGTGGTGCCCAGAACTGGACACAGTATTCCAGGTGTGGCCTGACCAAAGCAGAATACAGTCACACTGTTACTTCCCTTGATCTAGATACAATACATCTGTTGATGTAGCCTAAAATTGCATTGGCCTTTTTAGCTGTGGCATCACACTGTTGACTTATGTTCAGCTCCTCCCTTTCACATGTAGTCTTGTAAAGCCAGGTGTCCCCCATTTTATATCTATACATTTCATTTTTTTACCCTAAGTGCAGTACCTTATATTTCTCCATGTTAAAATTCATTTTGTTAGCTTTGGCCCAGCTTTCTAATCTATAAAGGTCATTTTGAATTTTCATCCTGTCCTCTTGGGCATTAGCTATTCCTCTATGTCTATACCTTTGAATTCTATGGAAAGGGATCTTGTAGCACTTTTGAGACAAACTGAAAGAAGTTGGTACCATGAGCTTTGATAGACTTCAGCCTACTTTTTCAGATGAAGGTGTTCAATATGCAAAGGGATCTTGTAGCACCTTTGAGACTAAGGGGGGTTGCAGACTGCCAGAAATAGTGCAAATTGAGTCCACTTTTAGGGTTAGGGTTAGTGCTAGGGAATCATGGGAATTGATTTTTTTCTGAGACATTGAGCCTTCTCTGTCAGAGAGCTCTGGTGTCACAATAAAATACAGTTCCCATGACTCCCTAACCCTAACCCTAAAAGTGGACTCAATTTGCACTATTTCTGGCAGTCTGCAACCCCCTAAAAAGTGCTACAAGATCCCTTTGTATACTGATTTTCCACACTAACAGATATATCTTTGAATGCCCTCTTTCATTTAGTCTCAAAGGTGCTGCAAGGTCCATTTCCATCTCCAATGTATGTGGAAATATTCCAAATTTCAAAACATTCTCAACTCCAAAACCCTTCTGGTCCCAAGCATTTCAGAGAAGCAGTGGAATCACTACGGTTGGCGTCACCCGGAGTGGTAACTCATGGTGTCAACCCCCCCCCCTTGACTTCCTCCCTTACCACAACTGAACAGAATCTTTAGTTGTGGTTTTTATACTACTATTTCTCATTCATTATAATTCCTGCATATCATTGAATGTTGTGGTAAGAGTTGTCACATAAAATAAGTAACACAATTAAAATTACACCTTCAAATTACAATATCACATGCAGAAACTCAGTGCATTTATATGTGCATAGTTATTTTTTTAATGTGGGTGAAGTGAACATTTGGTTGAAGATGATGACCAAACTTGGTATATGATTGGGTATTGGATTTTATTATATGGATTGTAGGTTTTTATTATTGCCATGGTTTTATATATTGCATTTTTGCACATTATTTTATATTTTTGCTGTAACCCTGCCTCGATCCACAAGGGGAGGCGGGAAAATACAAATAAAAACTATTATTATTATTATTATTATTATTGGTAAAAGGTGATTTTTTTAAAAAAGAAAACCTTTTAAAAATATTATTTCATTTTTTAAATTAAAATTATTTTTTTTAAAAAAACAACAACCTGGGACTTCTCCATTTAAATTGTGAATTTTAAACAATGGATTTTAAATGTAGATCATTTTAATATGTGCATCTGTTGTTTGTCATTTTAAAATGATGTATATTTTAACTGATTTGTTTTAACTGATGCTGTTTACCTGTCCATTGTTGTTGTTCCCCACCTCGATCCATGGGGAGAGGTGGGTAAGAAATCAATATCAAAATTGTTCCATCTGAACCTGCGCTCCTCCCCTGCTATATATCTTCTGCTATACATATCTATTGGTGTTCCAGAATGCATTTATGTTTAGTTTAATACTGTGTTTATTCTTTTAAGGGGGGGTATTATATTAGTTATTATTGTAGGGTGTGTTTTTAATCTGTATTTTATATTTGTAAGCTGCCTTGATTGCTTAGGCAAAAGGTGGGATATAAGAATAAATTATTATTATTATTATTATTATTATTATTATTATTATTAATTTCTTCTCCCACTGAGTCTCACTCCATCTCTTCAGCATTTTAATGGAACACAGGTAAATGCCATAGCCCATTTCTGCCAAAAAGGAGCCGTGGTGTCACCTGGTGTGGTCTGAACCCTCCGCACCCCCATTGTGAAGCCACTGCCTTGGATAATTCAAGAATAAAACCCAGAGTAGATTCACCATTCCATTGGCAGATCAGATCCACCAACCATCAGTGATACTGAGAAGCATGCAGACTGTGATTTTTTTTTTTGATGGTATTGGTTGAGTCACCCATATCCAAAATGGTTGGGGTAAGAAATGTTTTTGGAGTTTGGATTTTTTTTAAAAAAAATTGAAATCTCTGCATGTACATAATGAGGAATTTTGGAGACGGGACCCGAGTCTAAACATGGAATTCATTTACGTTTCACATACACCTTGCGCACCTAGCCCAAAGGTACTTTTATACATAACATTTCTAATAATCTTGTGTAATAATCTGAGCCACAAAACCACGGAGCCATCAGAAAGCAAAGGTGGCACTCTCTCAGGACAATTTTGATTTGAGCTGTGGAGGCATCATCATCATCATCATCATCATCATTATTATTATTATTAAAGTTTATTTCTAAAACGCTGTTAGTGTACACAGTGCTGTACAAAAAGACAATCAAGCATAAAATAGAATA